TAATCGTCCCAGAAAAAAGGAAGAGAAAATATTGACTTCAACAACCATCGTTGTTGCTGGTATTACATTAGTAAAACCCGAGAAGAACACAAAACAATTAATTTTGTGAACTTTGTCATTTTATCCTTAATGATAGGGGGATGCTTGTTTAGGGAATTTCGATGAAGAAGAGTCGTTCGATTTTAATGAAATTTTAATCAACATAGTTGATGTTTCGATGATGAAACTAGATCGACAGGCTGATAAGTTGTCATAAAAAAACCTAGAATATTATGATGAGTATTAAACAATAAGATGATACGATATAGTACAGTGAATGCACAGTACAAAAACAATCTTTGCTTAGGAATCATTATCCAAAGCTGTTTTTCTGCTGTATGATTTCGGTACATAATCATTCTAGGTGGGGGAGAATTGTAACGCCCGTAAGTTAGGGTTAGATGATTTAAGTGATTATAATAAATAGATATTCATTTATTAACTGTATAGACCTTTTATAACTGAGCGATAAAAGTAATGTTTTTGATATAATATTATTTAATATAAATAATCTTGATGAAGTTTTAGTAGTCACGATGATGATTCCGTAAATATAAGGAACATTCAAATCTGACTTCGTATGAAAAAGTTATGATTGTTTGAAGTTTTGTGCTCAACCCTATACGGAAAAGTGCGTCGTAAAATACGAATTGGGGATAGATTTCTTATTAGCCTAAATAATCTAAACAAAAGTCATAATAATCGTAAAATCGAGAGCATACACATAGAGAACACCAAAATCTGACTTTGTATGAGGAAGTTATGATTTTTCGAAGTTTCGGTGCAGCAATGCACGACACTGAAATCAAAATTTAAAATTGGTTGAGTGTTATCCAAAACAATGTAAACAAGAGTTGAAGATCTCGTAAATAAAATCTGTCAGTATAAAGACAGTCGAGAACGAAGTTCGTATGAAAGGGTTATGATTTTCGCACGAGATTTAACAGTCTAATCTCTATAAAAAATATGAATTTAAATAGATTGAGAATTGGTTGTCGAAACCTTAAAGAACGTTGTAGAGCTCGTCGAGAGGATTCCCAAGGATATAAAGAACGTCGAAAATGGAGCTCGTATACAAAATTTATGGTCGTTCAATGATTTTAGGGAAATACATGTTGTGATGACGTGGCAACACTGGAGTGCGCCATGTGACCGAGTGTGAGCCGGAGTCTTCCACCTACCAAGTGATGTGGCACCACGAGGTTACGACACATCGCACCACAATAAGTTGACATGTGGCCATGTTCTAGATGGGGAAGGTGGACAAATGAGAACATGAAATGTGGCAAAAGGCTGATGGAGCGACGTCGACCAATGGGCGTGACGCGCCTATGAAGAGATGTGCGATACGCCTCCTATAAAGTCTATAAATATGGCCAAATTATGCTCATTCTTCTCACAACTTTCACCCATATCTCTCTGGAAACCTAACACCTCTTGAGTCTGATTTTTCCAAGCTTCTGACCACTTTATCTAGGCTCTGAGATATCTAGGAGCCCGATGAGAAGGAACTTTCGGGTCAGAGTTTTTCCCATGCATTTCTCGAATTTTCGCTAGAACTCTGTAAGTTAAACTGCACTTGTTACGCTTTAAGTGTAACTTACGTTTAAGTTCATTATCGTTATTATGAACCTATAAATAAGATTTATCAGTGATTCCATGTCATAATACTGATTGATCTACTTACGGGGGTAATGTCCAGGATGGATTTAGTGAGGTGTTTAAAGTGGGTTTTCCAAACAGTATACTCTATATACCAAACGGACCCTACCTCCGATATGATCTTACTTGGTTATTCCTTATCAACTATACATCAATATTCATTGGGATTGTTGAGGAATCTAGACTATTGTTATTATAGTCGCATAAATTATGAAACAAAGGCTAAGACTTAGTGATATTCATATCTAGGTCTTTTGAAAGGAAAAACTAAGGTGTTAGGCGAATCGTTTCCCTAGCCACAAGTCATCCACTTTTAAACAAGTGAGTGCATAATTACTTTCATCTTATACATAGATACAAAGTATTTAGATAATTAAATGCTATATGTGCCTACTATCTATGTTCTTGATATTTGTGTTGGATTAAATAATATGCTATGATTTTACTTGTATATTTATTTTATCATATTTAAATTATATCAGGTAGTGAAGGGTTATGGGAAAGGAAATAATGGTGAGTGGCCATGCAAAGTACTATTGTACAACTGGGACCAGTCATCTATGGGAGTATAGATGACAACCGCTGACTATTCTAGACAATGTGGTGGAACACTAGCAAGCTCGCCACCTGTAGGTGTTAATGATCATGCTTTTCGGGGAAAAGGAAAGAATGTCCACACATGTACTCCATCCTCATTAACATATATTGCTACGGAATCCCCGAAACATTATTGGGTACTCATAGTGATCCTTTAGGGTAGATCCCTCGAGGTCATCATGTTGGGTGCGAAATATATATTTAAATGATTATATTATTGTGGGCTAAAAAACTTATGTGTTCACCAGACTTCCAAGTTTGACCCACTCAGTTTCTTGTATCACAGACAACGATACGAACGTTCAGGGATATTGATGTTTAAATCTGTCGGGAGATTTAAGGAGTTTTAGGCCATTAAATAAAATGTTGTAAGGCATGTAAAGACTAGCTTATGTTTATGTTCCTATATCGGTTATAAAATCCCAAGATTTTAAATATTAATGAAAAATGTTTCTTCGGAAGTGCTTTAATATTGATATTATCTCATATTAATAACGTTTTGGGACAAAGTTCGCACTAATAAAAGAATACTCTGTTTTAAATAATCATAAAAAAAGTTTTTAATTGGCCATAAAATTGGAGATGTCACATAAGGTATGGGTCACCTTACCGTTGTAGAGGCCAATGTGGCCCCTCTGCAACGACGTTAATGTTATATGTGCATCTCCCCCATAACTCGTTGTGTTACATTTCGTTATACCTCGTTGCCATGATAATGTAGCTTAACGGGAAGAACAGCCAATAGGACCATTTTTGACCTCATATTTCTTTAAAAAAAACAAAAATTTTCCTATAAATTGGTATGGTGGATATTTCCTCACAAAATAGTATGGTGTTAAAGATGATGAGTCATGTGAGGTAACAATTTTTTGATGTTATAACACCAACTCATACCCACCAACCATAAGTTCTTTTAAAGTTAAAAACTAAAAACTCATAAAAATTCTCAACAAAACTCTATGTGAAACCCCAAAGGTTAAATTACAATGGTTTTAATTTTTAGACAAAACTACGAAAATGGTCCCTATGGTATGTATTTTTTTCTGGTTTTAGTCCAAACCTCAATTTTTTTGGCTTCATGGTCCTTTTGGCCATGTTTCTATATGGATTTGGTCCCTCAGTAAACTGAAATGACTATAATACCCTTGATGTATTTATTTTATTTTTCTTAAATTTAATACTTATTTATTTTTTTAATTAAAAAATAAGAGGGCCCTCTCCCCCTCTCCCTCTCCACGCAGTAAAACCAAGACTCCATCCCAGTGATTCCATCATCGCCTCTCTCAATCGAGTTTGCAAAAAAGTTCCTGGAAATCCTTAAAAAGTCGATTTTGCAAACCAGATCTTTGAAACTCAACTAAAAACAAGCACAAAACCACACCAAATTTTTGTTCCCGAATCTAATCTACTTGATTCCATCATCTCCTCTTACAATCTTCTTTCCATTGCCATTCTAGATTCAGGTGAACACAATGTTTCACCTCCGACAATAATCTATGCGTCACACATTTCTCCATCTTCACTTATAGAAACACCACACATGACTCTTATTCCTTTCATTTTATCATCTCCGACCAGAGCAACCCTTTAGCACCGACGACCTTGAACCCAATGAACCTCTGTCGTCCCAGTTTTGATTATCTAAAAATCAAAACATCTCAAAATATGAAACTAGTTTTGATTATCTGAAAATCAAAACATCTAGAATCTATAATATAAACAATGAACGGAGTTTGATTATCTGAAAATGAAAACGTCACAAAATCAAAAACCCAAACTAGGTTTCAAAATTGAAATCCAAACGAGGTTGTGAATCTAGAATCTGAAACGATTTAGGTTTTCTGATGAAGATTTTCAATGATGTTTGAGGAAGAAATAAGAAAGATGATACAGTCGGCGGTTGCGATATACGATCGATACACCCAGTTGAAATACACTTATGAATGTCTACTGGAATTCCCTCGAGAACAACTTTGGCATCGTTGTAATCAGAATCGAAATCGGATAAGAGCTTCTTTAAGTTTGAGATGAGTTTGTTTAAGCTAATGATTTCAAGATTTAGGCGTGGATCAGGGATTGGAGAAGAGCCGTTGGAAATGTGAGATGATAAGGTGAAGCTTATAAATGATGATGGTTCTGATGAATTTGCTATGGATTAAAGTCAAATTCCCAACATATAAGTGGCAAAAATCATATTAATTTTTTAAGGGGGTTTTATGGCTAAAAAGTTAGAGCTCAGATTAGAGAGAGAGAGAGAGAGAGAGAGAGAGAGAGAGAGAGAGAGAGAGAGAGAGAGAGAGAGAGAGAGAGAGATTTATTCATTATTAGATTAATATTAAAATAAAAGATAAAGTGTTTAAGAAAATAAAGAAAACAAATTAAAATAACATATTAGTCATTTTAAGTTTAACGGGTACCAAATCCACCTAGAAACATGGTTAAAACTTAAAAGGACTATAAAACCAAAAAAATAAGGATTTGAATTAAAAGAAAAAAAATACATTTAATACAACGGATTTTATATTGCATAGATCTATGGATATAGTCTTCAAAAGTATTGACTTTACCATATAAAAGGGTTTAGCGGCGCAACTTGTTGCCCGTTTGCCTTCTCATTCGTTGTATGATGATAACTAAAATGTCTATTTTTTATTTAATAAAATGTACTAATTCCATTTCTCTTTTATTTTAATATTTCTTTAATGACAAAGCACCACTTCCGTATTCTGCGATGCGGGACGACGTGGCATCGGGGGAATGAACCAAATAGAAACACACCACCCCTGAAAGTGAAACCACGAAATCAAAAAGAGGCGGGTTTATCCCGAGCAACTACGCTAATGGGGAGTTCCAAGGAGGATTCGGCCAACGGTGCCGACAATTCCGCAGCCAATCGCCGTCGCGCTGATTCTAATTCCAAGCTCTTCTCCGATGGCGAGAAAGTTCTCGCCTATCATGGCCCTCGTATCTACGAAGCCAAGGCATGTGAACTGTTTTCCACCTCTTTAACTCGCCTGCTCTCGATCTCACACTCTCATTCGTTCATTTTGATTTTCTCTCATATTCTGTTCATTATTAATATAGTCATTAAACAACTTGAACATAGCGAGGTAACGAGAACACAACTACTAGTTCGTTTTATTAAGAACCAGAATACATAGGGTTTGGTTTATTTCTACCTGACTCGAACAAAATGTTAGGGTTCCCAATCTAAACAATTTGGGAGTTACAAGTTCGACAACTGCTCGCACTTACCGATGGTTGTGGGTATTAATGATGTTTGCAAGTGTGAAGGGTTTTATAAATTTGAGGACATTGGATTAATTTACACGGAATCAGACTCATATCTGGTGAATCATATTTCCCCCCCTTCGCGCAAAGTGGACTATATGTTATTAAAATGCTTTAAGTCATAGATTACTGGCATGTCCCATTTGTAACATACTATTGACAAAATGAGTTCAATCATTGCTGAAATTTCAACATTTTTGTAGAGCTAGCTAATTCAAGCTGTGCTTTTGTTTTACTATGTTTTGTAGTCTTTCTGGGTAATTTGATAATTGTTATCTGAGGCAACAACGTATTCTTTAGATATGTATAGGAGAACAGATAATACTCATTCAATTAGACACTGTAAACATCAGTATTCTAAGATTTATACACATGGATTAGGATTTGATATGGTTTATCTCCATGATGATTGAGATAGGAGGGCAGATATGCTAGTACACAAATTCAAACACTCAAACTAATGTTATCATTATGATATTTTTTTTAACCAGTTAACAGTTTGGAATCAGAGGGTGAAATACTTGACTTAAGAACCTATTATTCCTCATTTCATTGCTCTCTCATTTTTGTAGTACTATAGGGTAAACTTGACCGGGATTAGTAACCATGATTTGTAGGGGCATTAAAGATCTTTAATCAATTTACTGAAACTTTATCCTTTTGCTTGGATCTTTAATCAATTTACTGAAACTACATAAGTACTTTTGATCTGATCTCTTCACACTTTTCTTTTTCTTTTCATATCTTGAAGGTTCAAAAATCTGAGATTCGGAAGAATGAGTGGAAATATTTCGTTCATTACCTTGTAAGTTTCAAATAATATCTCCTAATATATAACTTTTTTACATTGCAATGTTAAGCAGTTGATACTTTTCAATTTGTTTTGCAGGGTTGGAGTAAAACGTGAGTATGCTTTTACTTCCTATATCCCCTTTCTCTTAACTTACATAATTTACAAATGGTCAAGTCAACCCTTTAGGCTAGTTTTTATTTTGGCTCACTTTTTAGAATATGTAAAGAAATGGCTATTAAAAAAATGTTATCTTGGCGACAGTTGGGATGAATGGGTAGGTGTTGATCGCCTGATGAAAAACACTGAAGAAAACATCCTTAAACAACAAGCCCTTGACAAAAAACAGGGCGTTGACCGAAATTCAAAGTCAGGAAAGTCAACCCAAACTAAGCCAAAAGTATCAAGTGGTATTCCCATTTCCCTCAACTTATCACACATCATTTCTTGTATGTGTTTTTGTTTCCTATTATTTGAATGTTATTATAGGAGCAAAAGGGAAGAAACGAAAAAATGATTCAAGCACTGAGGTAACTAATCAACTATATCATTTACCTTGTAAAATAGTCTTATTTAATATGTTTGGGTTGATTGTGTCAGAAGGAGAATGCAAGTGTTGAAAAACTTATAAACATTCAAATTCCATCAGCTTTAAAGAAGCAACTTGTGAATGATTGGGAATTTGTGAATGAGCAGGATAAGGTTGGTATTTTTGAAAAGGTTATTACTTATTCATTATTCATTATGAATTAATGAAGTAAATTGAAAAGTAATTTTTTTTTTTGCAGCTTGTTGAACTTCCGCGTTCTCCAAATATTGATGATATATTTGAAAAATACCTTGAATACAGATCAAAGAAGGATGGCATGTAAGTAAGAGAGAGTTATAAAGAGGCATGTGATAATGGCGTTGTGTGATTTTCTATGATGTGGTTGAATACATTACAGGATGACAGATTCAGTTGGAGAGATTTTGAAGGGATTAAGGTGTTACTTTGACAGGGCTTTGCCTATTATTCTTTTATATAATAAAGAACGCCACCAGTATCATGAAGCAGTTGCAGATGATGTTTCTCCTTCAACCATATATGGTGCTGAACATCTACTCCGCCTCTTTGGTGAGTTTCTCTCTTAATTATTTCTATTTCGTTTAATAATTATATCACAAATAAACCTTTTTTTTTCTTTTGTCAGTTAAATTGCCCGATCTATTGCCATACGTGAATATAGAAGAGGATCTTGTTATGCGCTTGCACCAAAAATTTGTCGACTTTCTCAAGTACACTTTTTTTTTTTTTTTTTTTTTATTATTATTTTTATTTTGACCAAAACATGATTATATTGACTGTTTGTGTGTTGTGTTGATATGTAGGTTTTTACAAAAGAACCAAAACTCTTTCTTCGTTTCTTCATATGATGGCTCAAAAGTTTCTGATTAATTGTACATCTATCAGGAGATGAGCCAAACCCCAACCCTGGTTATGATTATTTAACTTAACCATGTGTTGTAGAATTAGTATTTAATTATTGGCTCTTTTCTTTTGTGTACTGAATTTTTTAATGATGATCACATGAGTCTTGCCTTGTTACCTTACCATGTGAGTGAATTAGGTGTATAATAAATAGTCAAGATAGTTTTAGGTCAACTCAACTCCATGAGTTGGTTAATTGGTGGAAGGAAGAATCACAAGGTGTTAGATGACGGAAGTGACCCTTCGCACTTTGCTTTAGTTTTGGCCTAACTATATATCTTTTGCCAAAGTGGTCAATGGTCAAAGAAAAAAGACACCTTTTTTCCTTTACTTTAGAAGGGTCACACTTGCTAAAAAGAGGATGAAGTGTATATTTAAATTGGCAACGTAAAAAAGTAAACTATAAAACTAAACTACAAATTAGAGTAAATTGCATAAATGGTCCCTATAGTTTGGGGTAATCTGCATGTTGGGTCCGTAACTCTTCTTTTTAAACTCATACCATTCTTGTAGTTTGTTTTTGTTTCGGTTTTAGCCGCTTGATTGCCTTTACTATATTTTTTGTATTTTTTTTTCTTATGATTTGTTTATTTTTTTCATTCTTTATTTATTTGGACCCACTAATCTACCCTAACATGTCCCTTAGGGTTACTCCCTTTGGACCTTTTCCTCCACAAATCTAAGAAATCAAACCACAAATCGATCTTGTACTTAAGCTTCAATTGTGATTGTGACCAAAGAAGATAAAAAAGAGGAGCCAACTTTGTAGACTCCGGGTTGGCTTTTTGTTCGTCAAAAACAAAGTTGAAATATGAGGACCAAGGTTCCAGAACAATAAGGCAATGGTGATATTAGGTTTTTTGTTCGTAGGAATGATGGGGCACGATGGCTAGGGAACTGACAAATGAACAGAGGAACTCGATTTTCATCAAGAGAAGAGAGGAACGAGAGGCTAGACTTTTGTTTTTGGTGAGGTTCGCAGCGAAAGAGTGATAAATCACAGAGAGGCGGCTAGGGTTCGGTTTCAGACGAGATAAGAAAGAGCCTCCGACGTGGGCGATTGTAAGAAGGGGAAAACACGTGAAAAACTGAAACAAGAAAGGAGAGGGAAAAGAGAAAAGGAAATGATGTGGGGTGGGTCTATGATGGTGTGGGTCCGTTGATTCATTATTTTATTTAATAATATACAAATGATGTAAAAAGAATTTAAAAAGTTAAAAGATATCATGAAGAGTCATTTTAACTTGATTCACGACCAAAACCGAAATATATCCAAACAATGAAGACCATCCAAGTGAAAAAAAAAGGTTTGGGACTAGGCATGCATATTGGATCAAACCATATGAACCATTCGTGTAATTTACTCGGAAGTTATAATTGTGACCTTAACCTATCATGTGAAGTAAAGTTATAGGTGTGACATTAACCTATCATGATATGTGAAATATTTATCACTTTGTTGTTGTATCAATCTGTTAAACCAGTTAACAAGTTAACAAACAAGTGTGGTGGATTTTTTTTTTCATGAATATATTAAAAAAAGTTATCTATATAAATGGGGATGGACGGTGGAGTGGTGGAGTTGTGGATATATTTAGTTAGTGATAGGGTGGGGGAAGTGTACGTTAGGGTACAAGTCCAGATGTTTAATTAATTATATAAAAAGGTTGTATTTATTGATGTTAACCGTTAGACGTAACTTTCATGCTTTATGAATCCCAACCTTTGTCCCCTCGATCAATCATTCGTCACCAAAATGTTTCTAGCATTTTCTTTATTTTTCTTTGGATATTAGATAAACCTCATTTCATAAAGCTTATCAAATTTCAACCAAAGTATTTTTCATGGAACAATGATAACAATTGCAATGTTAGCTAGTTATATTTCAAATTGTTTTTCTTTGTTTTCTTGTTTCAATCTTGATAACTCATATTCAATTGATTCTACTAAAACTGAATGAAATAGTGTGGTTAGTATATGGACATTAATTTAACAACTTTCAAAATAGCTATACAAATATGAAAGTTTGTAATAAACTTTAGCCTTCGCGGAATTGAAGAAACATTTTTGTTTGTAGAAAATGCAGGTTGTTACTATCATGTCATAAACATGATGAAGGGTTTCCTTGTACTTGTGTTTATTAGGGGATATATGTCCTTGTGATGTGAATGCTTGTGTATAGAAATTAGCATATCTTAGCATAAACCGCATGTGACTTCAGTATGCATATTGCTATCACAAAAAATTAGAGCTGGTAAAAAAATCTAATATGCCAACAAAACCTTGTATTATTCCAAATAATTAGCGGGTTGGGTTAAGATTTTAAAATCGTTTAATTAAATATGTTAACCCGTTTAACCTATTTAGTTAAATAGATCGAGTTATGGTTGAAATTTCCAAAAGTAAATTACATGAATTGTTCCTCGTACAGGTGCAAAAGACACGTTTAGTCTCTATTTTCAAAAATTAACTCAGACCATCTATCTTATGTTTAAATCTTGCATGCTTCATCCCCCGACATGGAATGACTATACCGACCTTTCCCATTTCTTTATTGATTTATTTTTAGCTTGTGTATAATTTTTAATATAAAAAAATGGGTGTACCACCACACCCTATTACTCCGAACTTCAACTCAACCCCACCCTTCCAGATTTTAATCGTGCTCTTTAATCTTGAGCATCAACCACCATAAGAACACCCAAACCAAAAATTGTGACCCCCTTGAGCTTTTCTAGTCGATCCCATGTTTCTGCAATCGTCACCGTCTTACTTGCTTTGACGCTTGTTCTTAAAGCCACCAACGACGTAACGTCGGCTCCATTTTCACCACCACTTGGAGACTGTGCCTACTCCGTCATCTCGTTCTCCCCTTGCCTTCCCTGCAGAACGCGTTCCTCAGATTTCCTCTTAACGCCTCCAAGCTGCTTTCCTTATCAGATTTATGTCCACTCAATAACAATACCCAAACTTTATCGTTTAACTTTGTGCATGCTTTCTTTACTAGAAGTTTCAAGGAGTCACAATGAAATAGAAAATCGGTGGCAACTTCTGATTTAGGATTCGGCTTCATAGTTGGTGGTCGATGATAGCTTTCGAGGTGGAGATCGACAGGGGTCTTAGCACGCGCAATGTAACGTCCCAAAAATACCAAGAAATTTTTTTATTTTTATTAAGTCAAAACTATTCATTCATTATTCCAAATAACGATTATAATAAAAGTATTCTCAAAACATCAGAGTAAAAACATAAACAATCAATGCAGATTAAATCTCCAAGGGATGCAGTGCGATCAAGCCGACCCTTCCTTTTGAAACCATAAGCACCTAAAAACATTTTAAACATAAACCGTAAGCATGAAGCTTAGTGAGTTCCCCAAAATACCACATACCATACATACATACATCGGACCCCGCTCGACATCCATCGGGTCTCGCTCGGCCCAAAATACCACATACCATACATACAAGATCTGTCAGTCATATGTGGTGGGGCCCGCCCGACATCGGGCCCTGCTCGGTATACATACAAACACGTGCAAGAGTCGCATAGACAACTAGCATCCTATAACATAACAATGGGCCGATATTGGTACCTTCGACCCGCAAATACTGTGAGAAGACTCACCTTAACTACTCAACAGAAGCCCAACAGCTACCTTAGCATCAGAATAGCTAACCCAAACTTCCTAAAATCAAACCGGGACCAATCCTTAGTCAAATACTCAATTCTACCCAAGTTTGACCAAAAGTCAAACTGATCCAAAAAGTCAACGGGTCAAAAAGTCAAAGGCGGTCAACACAGATTGAGTACGCCCAACGTACTCAGTCACTACACTCAACGTAGTACATCCCTTCCTGATTACGGGGCTCCAGCATGGTACACTCAGCGTACTACCAGGTACGCCCAACGTACACGACTGGTTCCATTTTCCTTCATTAAGTGCTTATTTCATTAAGATCTCATGTCCAAAGCTCAAATCTAGTCCCAAATAATATTCTAAGTCGTAAAGTTTCCAACTTTATGACTTTCTATGGCTAGAAGGAGTCCACCCACCAAAACCCTAACTTAATACACAAACCAAGGCATCATAACTCTTGCATGGAGGGAAGAAATGGACCAAGATCACATTTTCATGGTTCCTAATAGCTCCATAATGGTCAAAATAACCAAGATCTAGTCTTTAAGTCTCAAAGGGACCAAAAATACATATTTCTCAACTTAAACCATTAAGTCCAACTCTCCAACATTCATATCTAAATCAATATGATGTTTAGATGGATAAAGTTTCCAACTTTATCCATAACAAGGTCAAAAACTTTCAAGATCTAAACTTTAATACACCAAAATGGCCTAAATGACCGAAATAACTTGCATAACTGAATGGGAAGGCAAAAAATCAAAACTTTCCTAGTCCATGAGGTCCAAGAAACATTCTAAACTGATCAAAAAGGTGTTGGAGTCTAGATCTGAAACATACAATGTGCTTGGGACCTTGGAGAGTAATAAAGTTGCAAACTTTATTCCCAACTCTCACTCAAAACTCATTAAAATGGACCAAAACACCAAATACACTTAGATCCAAAGATGAAATGTAACAAATCTTGGAACTTTATAACTTACAAAGGTCTAGAAGGTAGATGAAAGTTGAGATCTTCAATTGCCAAGCTTTAAGGATGAATCTTGCATGAAAACATTGCTCCAAAACCACCAAAAAATCCAAAAATGGATGATAGAGGAAAGGGGAGGCTTAAATCTTGAAAATGGAGGCTAGGGTTTCTCCCAAGAGGTTCTAGATATGATGGAGGCTAAGAAAATACCCTAAAACATGAATCCTTACCTTTAAATACCTTAAAAACCCTAAAAATTTCATGGGCTTTGGGCTACAGAGTTCTCATGTCATGAGAATATATTCTCACCTCGTGAGCATTCTCATGTCGTGAGAACGGATTTTCACCCACTTTCACTCCAGCTTCAAATAGTCATAACTTCTTCGTTTCAACTCCGTTTTTGGCAATCTTTATATCCATAGAAAGGTAATGACAAGCCCCATACTTCTATCTAGTTAATTTTGGCTTA